TCCCCCGGCGGGGCTGGCAGCGAGCGGGGCCCGGGGGCGGCGGAGCCCCGCGCTGCCCCACGCAGCACCCCCGTCCCCCAGCGGCGACCCCTCCCCGCAGCCCCTCACCTCGCAGTCCTCTTCGTACTTGACATTATCTGCTAGTTTCCACAACATGGCGTCCAGCGTCCGGACCAGGTGCGCGGTGCGGCGAACGGAACGGCTCGGCCCCGCCACGGGCGGTAAATCCTCGCCGGCGCTGGGGAAGAGCAGCGGCCCCCCGGACGGAGCTCAGTTGGCAGGCATGAAGGCAGCTGACGGACTAACCCTCCGCTCCTGTGGTCACTCGGGCTTTTTTTCCCTGCCCAGACGCCCTTAATGGCAATAGGATTATCCTAACTCCTCCCCAGGGATGGCTCGGGCGCCGCGGCCGCCAGCCACTCAGGAGGGAGCGCGCAGCCCCAAGCCACTCCTTCCGCGGCCGCGGAGGGCGGGCGGGCAGCGCGGAGCCGGGGCCCCCCTCCGCCGCCCCTCGGGGTGCGGGGGCCGTGGGTGCCGCCCCTCGGGGATGGGGACACGCGTGGGCACCCCCGCTGCAGCCGGGAGCCCGCAGCTCTCCCCCTCCCGCAAAGTTTTTGGGAGCCGTGCCGCGCGTTCCCCGCTCCTCCACGCGTGGAAGAACTCTGCTAAACCCCACAGTGCGCCGCCCCCCGCGCCCGACAGGGTTTTTTTTGCCTTTTTTTTTTTTTTTGGGAGAAATAAACTCGGGAAAAGTCGTCGTAGCGAAAGCGAGAAAGTCCGAGCGCAGCCGGGGTTTCATTTGCATAATTGTCAAGAGTTTGAATTACTGATTACAACTTGTAAGCTACCAATGTTTAAGGTATAATTTACTTAATGATCCAACAAGATTATTGCAGTGGTGTCGAAGCCCCGGTAGGTAAAGCAGCCCTGATTCAGCGTCCCCGATCCGGGGCTCTGAGAATTGTGCCACTGGTTCCTCGCATCGGTTTCTTTTTATTTTAATTTTTTTAAACTTTTTTTTTTAACGAAAACCCCTCCTGTCTAATCTTTTCGCGCAAACTCGCGGCTGGGGAAGCAGGTGGGAGGTGAGACAGGCATTTTCGGACGCCGTGAGCACACTTTCATCTAAGCTTAGAAAATACTTCCCTGCCAAATTGCTACCTTTCTTCAGGCATTTGATCTATGCAGTTATGTGTGTCAGACAAAATGAACATCGTTTTCAAAAGCAGCGACTTCTCCCAGTGTTTTAAGGTGCATCCGGATCGCTGCTCATTTACATGAGAGGAGCGGGTGTTTGTTTATTGTGGCACAGACAAAAGCTGACCCTGGACAGTGCTGGCTGCGGAGATCTGGGCGATCAGCGCCCGGGGACGAGCCTGGGAGCTGCTATTAAAGGCCCGAGATAGACCCACGTCTCCAGATTGAACCAGCTCACACTTCACTCGCTTTCCCCCCCGCTCTAAAGATCAGGGGAGAAAAATAACAAGAACGCTAATTAAAACTTTAAAAAATCATCTAAACACTATGAACCCCTCCATCAGACTAAATGAATGATCTAAAAATAAACGCGAGGAGGACGGGGGTGCTGGAAGTAACTGTTGGAGGTGTTATCTGCCTTATCTACCACGCAGGTGCTGATTTGCAGCAGTTGCATTAAGCCCATCATCATCAGCGACTCCACATTATCATTTTTGGTGGAGTCTCTATTTATTTTTATTTTTTTTAACGACGGTGTTTTTCTTCCAGGGATGGTTCTTTGAAATGCAGTTCGCGACGATTATTAGCGAGTGTGCTTGCGCTGCTCCTGGCGTCATTAAGACTAGGAATCTAAATAATAAAATACAGGGGGAGCTTGAAGTTCATTTGTATTAAAGGGACAAGATGGGTTTAGAAAGAAACGAGGAAGGGAACCGTCGAGCCTCCCGGGTTTGGGATCAGCTCTTCTTCCTTCCCAAGGAGAATTGTAACAACGTTGGTTATTTTTATTATGACCTCAGAAGCCAGATTTTGTTTCTGCTCAGAAATGTCACACTGAGAAACGAACGCGATTTTATAATCCTTTGGGATTGTCAGTGCCTAAACACCTTCGTTTTGGTGGCCAAAATCACGAAGATAAATTCGCGTTATTTATTGTGTATCTAGGAATAATATTCATAAATAGAAGTGTGGAAGAGAACGAGGGATGTATAAAAAATCACCTAAACAAGGCGACCGAAATAAACACTTAGCTTCCTAAACAGCAAGCCAAGAGAGCAGAGAGGAGGCTGAACATCACCAAGTTTGAGAGAAACTTTCCCGTAGATCCACTTGCTCCTCGCTCTGTGCTCGCAGCCGCTGCCAGGGGAGATGAGGGGAAGGGAAGGGAAGGGAAGGGAAGGGAAGGGAAGGGAAGGGAAGCACCGCCCGTGCCCTCCATCGGTGCCCGGCAGGTGACGGATGCGGGCCCTGCCGGGTGCCGCTGCCGAGGGATGCCGTGGTGCGGCCGGGCACAGGGGCGGCTCAGCTGCCCCGGTGTCCTCCGAGGGCTCGGGAGGGATAACGCTCCTGGAGCCGCTCCTGGAGCCGCTCCCTGTCGGCAGCGTGGCGTTCCGCAGCGCTCCGCTCAGAGCGGGCGGGCCGCGGGAGCTCAAGCACACGCTCCGCTCCCAGCACAATGCGGGGCACGGGGGTGCGCAGGCAGCCAGGGCTGCTGCAGGGACACCGAACCTCCCCGGACACGGGGCAGAGCAGGCTCCCATCAGCAGCCGGGCAGGGAGGTGGCTCCTGACAGGTGGCGGCTTTTATTTACTTATTAAAAAAAAAAAAATTAAAATTAGTGCTCTTACTCCGGGGATATCCCCTGATTCCAAGCAGAAGAGGCGCCTTGCTTCGAGGGGGATTAGTTCCCTTTTTGAGGAGGCTGCAGTTTCCCGTGGGGAGCACGAAGCACCCCCAGGCGTGAACACGCTTCGGGAGGGGAGCCAGAGCCCACTGCTGCGCCTCTGTCACACGCACTAGTTTTCCTATTTGGCAGCAATTAAAAGAGAGCGTGGGGATGCTAATTAGTTACATCCTTCTTCCTCTAAAAATTATTTAAACGCACACATATCTGTATTGTTAATGAGGCTGCAGCAACCTGTCCGGATTGTCGCCTGGGCTCCTGCCGAGCTCCACAAAGGCAGCTGCTGCCCCGCGGCCCCGGGGGACTCCGCGGAACCTCCCCAGCGGGGAGGGGCGGAGAGCGGGCTGTCCCCCCATCCCCGAGGGCAGGACCCCCGCCCGCAGCCGGGGGGCAGAGCCGCGGGGCCGGGCCGGCTGCCGGGGGGCTCCGGGGGTCCCGGTGCCGCGGTACGTACGTGCCAGGCGGTGCTCCGCAGCACGGCCGTGGGCAGCATCCCCCCGCATCCCCTCCCGCTGTCCGCCCCCTCCCCAAACCCGCCCCGGGAAGGCAGCGAGACACAGCCCAGCCCGGCTCGCACCGCCGCGGCACGGCCGGCGCGTTTTAAGTGTTTTTTTTCCCCGCGGTTCCGCCGTTTCTCCTCCCCTCAGGGCGCCCCGGGGGATGCGGGGGGCGGTGCGTATCCGTGCGCGTTTCCCCGCGGCCGCCGGCACCGGGAGCACCCCTGGAATCCCTGCCTGACGGGAGCCTTTCCCCGGCCGCCTTGTGCCCCCCCGGCGGGGCAGCGGCCGCTCGGGAGCCGCAGAGCCCCGGGCAGCTCCCCCGGGGCTCCCGCAGCTCTGGGATGGCAGCGCCGGGGGCTCCGGGCACCTGCCCCGCTGGCAGGGGTGCCCAAGGCCAGGCTGGACCGGGCTTGGAGCCGCCGGGGCCAGCGGGAGGTGTCCCTGCCCACGGCAGGGGGTGGAACTGGATCGTCTTTAAGGTCCCTTCCAGCCCAAGCCGTTCTGTGATTCCACCCCGGGGTGGGAGGTGCAGTCTGCACCCATCGGGGCTGTGAGGGGTGCTGGGCCCCCCAAAAGTGAAGGTGACGGGGAGCAGAGAGGGGCTGCACTGGCAGGACTGAACCCCTGCCTCAGCTGCCACTCCTCACCTCTGCAGGAAGCAAGAAGTGCCCACACTTTCTTATTTTCCCCCAGCCCATTAATTTGCTTAATAAACACCATCCCAGCTGTGTTTTCTTCCTGCTCCTTCCCTCTGGAGCTGGAGGAGCACAGTCCCCCGGCCATGGTGTGCTGTGAGCCTGCAGCACAGAGGGTGTTTGGCAATTCCTGGGCAGAAGTGACAGGCTGTGGCAGCAGGCACTTTTGGGCCCTGGGTGAGATGCTCCATGGCATGTGGCAGAGGTTCAGCAGCGAAGTGCAGCTGCCTGGGGCTCCTGCAGAGGAGTTTCTCTGGCTTTTGTGCATGAGAAGCTCTCTCAGGCTGGATGGTTTGAGGCAGGAGATGGATACCTGGGGGAGAGAGAGTTCACAGGAGCCTGCCTGCAGCCACAGCACGGGACAGGGCACAGGAACTCCCAGATTCCCTGCCTGTCCCTGTCCTTGAGGCAGGGGATGGCCACAAATGTGACAGCAGCTGCATTTACCCTGCTCATTCATAAAACAAGGATAGGGATCCCAGCAGAGGCCAGAGCTGGATTCAATTCTGGTGGAAGCAGGAGAGGAGTGGGAGCTGTGCTCCCTGATCCCACCTCTGCCCAGTGACCCCGAGGTGCCTCCTCAGGGCTCTGACATTCTGCCTGCAGTGGAATGATCCTTCCATTCTGGAGAGATGCTCTGACTTTTTAAAATTCCCTCCTTTTTATGTCCATCAGGAGCTGTTAGCCAGTATTGCTGCAAAGGCTGTCATTGCTGGGCTGTGTGTAACCAAATCCAGCTCCCCCTTGCAGGGAACAGGCTCAAAATAAAAGATCAAAACCCCCAAACAGCCAAAAGACCACGATGATAAAAGTGAATTCAGGATTCATATATTTACTTAGGCTATTTCCTGTAAGTAAAAACATAAACAGGCTCTTGGCTCAATAGACACAATTCATATTGTAAAAAATAAAGGCTGGTGATGATGTTCCATGCAAACAACTGCTGGGGCACAATGCTGATGGCTGGGGAAGGTTCCTCTGTGGACAGAGATGGGCACCAGCTACAAAGGGTCCTTTCCACCCCTGGTTTTGAGGGGTCATGCAGCCCTCAAACCCTGCAGTCAGGGTATCAATCAAGTGTGTAAAATGTCTTTTTTAAAACACTCATTCTCCATGTACATCCATAGATACACACACAGCCATGAGAGGAAAATCATCTAAACGCCTTCCAAGGTGATTTTGGGCACAGTATAAAGCAGAGATGCAGACAGTCCCTGGGCAGGAGGGAAGGAATCCCAAAGCAGCAGTCAGTTCCCTTATTTCTAGTTACCTTTCACTCCTCAGGCGTGATGAAATAAGTAAACTAACCTTGATGTCAGGACACTGGGTCATGTGAGTTGAAGCTGAGGATTTTCCGTGTAGGCAATTTAAGTAAATATTCAGTTACTTTCTTACTTCCATGGTCCAGTTTCTTGAAAACTCCTAATCCCTCTAAATAGCCATTTTTTCCTGGAGCTCTCCATCAGACTCAGCTGGACAAAATCTGAACTGCATCACGAATGGGGGGAAAGCTCTCTCAAGGACTTGGTTTTGGTTACTCTAGCGAACACATGCAGGGGCCAAGTGGTTTTTTAAACAGATTTATTTTTCCATGTAAAATTATCTGTGAAAATTCCTGTGGCACTAGTGCTGCAGAGGCACAGAGGAGACACTCTGAGGTGAAAGAATTCATCCTGGTTTGAAGCCCCTTTCAGGTGATTTCATGCAGGTGGGGTTGCAGAGGGATACAGATTTGGGATGTCCAGGTGATTTTTCTTCCATTAAAAACCCACAAAACAGAGGCAAGATGACTCAGGGTGCTTCAGTTCAAATGGGGATTCAGGCAGCATTTCAGGCATCTGCATTTCTGGGTTCCCTGGGATTTAGGAGCCACAGTCCAGACACCACCAGGCAACACAGTAAGGCAGCTTTAAATCTCTTCCTCCTCCTCCTACAAAAATCCAACGCTGGAAAGCACTAAGTCAGTTTAAATTCACTGTACCAATGCAAATTATTGAAAATGCAGCTGGCATTAACTTGCAGCAGTTTTCTGCTGTGTAAGATGTCTTTTGCCCACACCATTGCAGCCTGACCTGGTCTGTCATCCTGTCCCCAACTCCAATTCCAAGCTGACCCCAGCCCCGCGCTCTGGCTGGCTCAGCAGGAAGGCAGCCCTGGGTGCCCCCCGATCCAGATTTGGGTTGTTGGGTGAGCTGGGATTGACAACGCTGGGAGCCTCGGACAGCAGCTGAGGGAAGGAAGCCTTGGGGGATGTGAGAAGAGCTGGGGGGGCACGGGGGCTCTGCTTTGGAATGAGAGGGAATTTGGGGGGCAGGGAAGGTGGTTTTTACAGTGCCCGGGTGCAGGATGGATGGTGCCTTTGGGAGCCAGCCCCGATGCCGAGCGAGGAACGAGGTCACCACTTCCTCGTGCATTAGAATTGAAAACAATCACAGCAGCGAAACAAAACCAGCTCAGCTCTACAGATGCAAATCCAGCGGCAGACACGGCTGGAAGCAGGTCAGGCTGCGCCCATGCAAATGCTGGGGGAGCCCAGAGCAGCCCAGGAGCCCCGAGGGTCGCAGGGGGCTGCCCAGGGAGCCGAGCCCCCCGGGATGGATGCTTTCCCTGCAGCCCGAGGGAGCGGCGCCCGCAGAGGATGGAGCGCTGCTCCTGCAGACAGAACACCCCGCTACAGCGCTCTGGTGGCAGCGGGGGCAGCGCTGCTCTGCCAGGGCATCCGCGCTGCTTTCCCCGCGCCGGGAACCTGCTGCGCCTGGGGCTGCTCACACGGCACCGAGCGTGTGCCAGGGCTGCTCCTGCTCCCGGATCCCCGCGGTGCCCCCGAATCCCGAATCCCAAATCCCTGCAGTGCTCCATGCTCCCAAATCCTCGCGGTGTTCCTGCTCCCAAATCCCCGCGGTGCTCCCTGCTCCCGGATCCCCGCGGTGCCCCCAAATCCCGAATCCCAAATCCCTGCAGTGCTCCATGCTCCCGAATCCCTGCGATGCTCCTGCTCCCAAATCCCCGCGGTGTTCCCTGCTTCTGAATCCCTGCAGTGCTTCATGCTCCCAAATCCCTGCGGTGTTCCCTGCTCCCGAATCCTTGCTGTGCTCCTGTTCCCAAATCCCTGCAGTGCTCCCTGCTCCCAAATCCCCGCGGTGTTCCCTGCTCCCAAATCCTTGCTGTGCTCCTGCTCCCAAATCCCTGCGGTGCTCCAAATCCCTGCAGTGCTCCTGCTCCCAAATCCCTACAGTGCTCCATGCTCCCAAATCCCCGTGGTGCTCCCTGGTGGGGGCAGGGAGCTGAAGTTATTCCCTGTTCCCAAATCCCCGTGGTGCTCCCCGCTGGGGACAGGGAGCTGAGGTTATTCCCTGTTCCCAAATTGGTCCCTGGTGGGAACAGGGATCCTCTGCTCTGTCCCAGACACCAAAAAAGCCACCACGGTGGCCAGGGAAATCGGGCCACGTGTGAGGCTCCTCCAGAGCCCCAGCAGTGCCCAGGCTCTTGTCCATGCCCAGGGCACCATGTGCCCGTGGCCAAACCTCTCTGACCCTTCTGGAGCCCCAAGCTGGCCCTGATTAATGACAGAGGGGTGTGGATGGTCACAGGGAGGTTTCCCAGTGCATGGAGGGAGGGATGAGCTCACTTCTGCTGCCACAGCTTGTGCCCAGTGGTGGCTTCCTGGGATGATGAGTGGAAGAGCCCCACGCTGTTGACTGTCTGTATAAAACTGCACTAACTGAGAGGGGAAGAGTTTGAGCACTCTCCTTTTTAAATCCTGAGCCCTCCCTCCCTAAAAACCTCCCTCAGGATCTCAGGAGACCGTGCTGTGCCCATGGTCTGTGCTGAGGATCCTTTTGCACCCAAGCAGGGGAGGAGAATTTCCATCTCCAGCAGCCCCAGACTGAAAATCTGCCACGCTCTGCTTGTCCTCAGCAGCCCTGCACTACCCACACACGCAGGCAGCACCCTGTCCTCCTGTTTTGGGCTGAGGTGTTTCCCTGTTTGGAGTGGGGAAGCAGGAAGCAGGCACATCTGAAGCATATCTACAAGCTACAAACCTCCAGCTCACCCTGCCCCTGCCCCAAGCTGCCCAGAGGTGACCCAGGAGCCCTCGGCATGCCTGGGACACCAATTCCCTCTGGAGCAGGCACAGAGCAGTGGCTGGAGGCCTCCCAACCCCTGACACATCCAGCCAGCTCCAGGGGACAGCCCTGCTCCCTGCAGACCTGCCCAGGGCACCTTGCCCAGCACGGGGGGGCTGTGACAGCACCGAGGGGATGCTGACCCCCAGCACGGCCTCATCCCATCCCTGGGACATGGAAAACCCTGGGAGCTGAGCAGGAGGCTCTGGGCAGGCTCCCCAAGCTCAGCCTGGCTGGGACAGCCCCTGGAGGCTGCAGTCTCAGGACAGTCTCTCCCTGCACCATGCAATTGCTGCTCCTTGTAATTTTCCCCAGCTGGTGCCATTGCAAATGCCATCCTTATCTCCCTAAGTACAGATCCTCTCCCCACTCGTTTACAATGTCACACAGCAATTTGTTACATAAGCTCGTTAAGTTTTTTCATGTATCTATGTTAATGGGCACATAAATATGGAAATCTTAATTTCAGACCTGTCTCGGAAAAGCATTACCTGGGAAACTGGTCTGAGAAAAAGCAAACACGGCCCAGGACTAGCCAGGGTTTGGGTACCTGGTGATGAGCGGAGCAGGAGCTGTGCTCCTCACTGATCATCACCTGTGACCCTCTAAAAATTCATTCTCAACAGAGAACCTCCAGTTTCTTTGCCATGTTCTTCCACCCTCAGCAATGCTGCAGTGACAGGCTGGTTTTATCTATTATTTTCCTCTCTTATCACAGGTGGACTATTAGCACAAATAAAAGGACTCTGCTTCTCCAAAGCAAACAGAGACGTTGGCTGCAGCCCAGGGATCTCCAGTGAACAACTGCAGCCTGCAAAGTGCATTTCAAATGGCTCAGCAAAATTCCACCCACATTCATTTTCTGCACCATTTATAGCAGTAAATACTATTTCAGGTGTACTCCTGTTTGGCTCGACACCTTTCATTTGGTGATTTAACCCAGGAGAGCATTTCCACACCTCGTGATCCTTCCCTGCAGGGATGCTGACAGGAAAGGAGCTCTCAGGCCCTGCAGGACAGCCTCCCCAGGAGCAGCTGGGCACTCTGCATTCATTCATTCCACAGGCCCTGGGACAGACTGCCCTGTGCCCCACCAAGCACCCAGGGCCTGCAGAAGAAGCTCACTTTAATTGGTGACATGGATTTGGCTGCCCCACAGTAACTCCCTGAGCTGCCAGGAGGTGCCAAATCCTGTCTGGAGGCATCCAGGGGCCAGATGAGCAATCCCATGCCCACGTTGAAGCAGCCTGGTTCAGTGTTGTGATGGTTTTTGAGGGGCCAGCTGGCTGGGGTGGTGGTGGGGGTGTGCGCAGCGTGTCACAGCGTGTCACAGCATGTCACAGCATGTCACACCTCAGCAGGGATGAACCCACGTGTCCCTGCTCTCCCGGGGTGCTGGATGGGGCAGCAGTGCCTGCACTCACTGGCACTGCACGTGGCCTCAGGCTGCCCTTTTCTGGAGCACCAGCAGGGCCAAAAAGGGAGTGGGGGACTTATTTTCCTTTTTTTTTTTTTTGAGCAATCTCAGCAGCAGGACCCTGGGTCACTCCGTGCATTGCCTCTGCTGTGTGCATGTTCTGCTGGATCAGAGAGTTGACGTGGCTCCAGGGGACTCCCATGGGGACCAGGTGCCCAGCAGGGAGCTGAGCCTCCAAAGCCTCCTTGGCAGTTTCGGCTTTGCTTTTCCAGGTCAGCACCCTGGACATTAAAATTCACTTTGCTCTCCCACCACTCTCCCTGGCAGGTAGAGATTGAGCCCATTCCTAGGCTCTGTATTTGGGAAAATACAAATTTCCTCCTGGGATTGGAGGCACCTCTCCCGGGCCTGGCCATGTCCTCAGCTCTGCATTTCCCTGCCCAGTGTCCCAGGAAAATGCTGCCAAGTGCTCTGCAGCCCCCAGCCCTGCAAAAGACACCTGGTGTCATTGTCATCCTTGTAAAGTATTGCAAGTTGCTAATTAGGCAGTAATGACCAATGGGAAGGACATTTCCCGGCTGTTAACTGGAGACTCCTGACCTGGAAGGTCGCTATCAGTCACCCAGGAATTACTAAAGGAGGAGAGAAGCAGACCAAACAGAGAAAAACCCTAATTTTTAAGGTGTTCCTCCACTGCCCTGGCCAGCAGGGAGGGAGGGCAGGCACCCCAGCTTCCTGCCCCTCTCTCCCAGTTACTCCCATTTCCCAATTAATCCCCGTGCTCATGAAGAAACAGGACATTAAATATTCAAGGATTAGCTCATTTTTTAATATCTAGCTAAAAGGTGAAGCTGCAATTAGCAATAATGGGCTGCTGCTGCCGGGCCTGTGTGTACTGATCCCTCCCCACTTCTAAGGGGAAGGTTTACACCTACTCTGCTTTCAGACCGGGACATTTCTCCCATTTCACAGCGGGGCTGGCTCTGCTCTCCCCGGCAGGTGACCGCATTTCAGCGGCTCACAGGTTCATTAAACTGCTGGGAATTACTGCCTTGGCTCAGGGCTGACCCTGACAGCCCTGTGGTTCTGTTTCTGCAGGGGGTTAGAGACATGCAGAGCTCCTGGACCTCTTCAGCCTGGCCCCGGGGCCACCTCTGAGGGACGGGCAGTGACAAAAATCACATCCCTGTGCCCTGATTCCCCACTCAGGACCTGGCAAATGAGCCCTGCTCTAAATACATGCAAAGGAGAGCCAGAAGGGAGCACAGGACCTGTCAAACAGACATGGGATGGGATTCCTCTCTTTTCCTGGCAGGGAGGATGCTGGTGCTTGGAATTTTACCAAAAACCCAATTTTCACCCGGCTCCCCAGCTCAGACAACAGCAAAGGGTCAGAAGGCTGACATGGAGGGGACTGAGGGGAGCCTCCCTCACCCCTCTAAATCATGGAACCACAGAAGGTTTGGTTGGAAGGGACCTTAAAGCTGATCTCATTCCATCCCTGCCATGGGCAGGGACACCTTCCACCACACCAGGCTGATCCAAGCTGGCCTTGGACACTTCCAGGGATTATCTATCTATCTATCTATCTATCTATCTATCTATCTATCTATCTATCTATCTATCTGATCTTTCTTTACAATTCCTTATAGCTGTACCTTAGTAAAAACTGTAAAAAAAATCAGAAAATGCAGATGGGAAGGTGCAGAACTGTCAAAGGCAGATTTTGCTCACCTAAGGAGGTGTCCAGAAATGTTCTCCAGTCCCTGAAGGCCTCCAGGATCACAGCTCTGTCTCCAGACAGGCAGGAGATCATACACAAGAAGCAGATTTCATGGTCAAGATTAGCTTTTGGCTAAAGAAGAAGTGATAAAATTACAGAGGAAATGTCAGTTGCAGAACTTTGAACATTCAGACTTTTTTTTTTTTTTTGGAGAACAAAAATTAGCTAAAAGCTCACAGTTTGCAGGCTGTTCAGGTTGCCTTGTCCTTAGGATACCTGCAGACAGGCAAGGATTGCTGCACCTTGCTGGGAGCTGGCAGAGCTGGGCAGCACAGGAATTCCACCCTCAGCAGCCAAAAGGAATATGGAAAAATGAACCATTCAAGCAATCAGATTTTTTAAAATGTAGTATTTCCTATTGCCTTGGCCCAAGGGATGCTCTGAACACCCCTGTCTATTCCTCACTGCATCCAGATGATGTCAGCTCACCTCACCTGGATGCAGGGTGTTCCTCTCCCTCCCTGTCCAGCTTCTCCCATTCCCAAAAAAGCAGGAAAGTCCTGTTATCCTGTCTGGTGAGCCCTGATTATTTCCTGTGAATGTTCAAGCCAATCATGATGGGCCCACAAGAACCAGAGCACCAGAGGCTTTTCTGGAACACTTTTTGGGGATCAAACCCTGCTCACTTTTTCCCGCAGGTGATATCCTTCCTTGGGTGGGGTGTTAAACCAGCAGCACCAGTGGCAGAATGAAAGGACCTGTTATTCTCCAGTGCAAGGAGGTTTTCCCATTCTTCATGAGGAGCAGAAACCTATTAGGAATCATACAAAGCAGGATTTATATGCAGCCTAGATTGATGATGTTATGCTACCTTTTAAAAAATCCCAAAGCAGTCCACACCCAGCACAAATCAGGGGAATAAAGGCTTTTAACAGACAGTCTGTGAATTCTTTAAAAAATATTCCATCCTGCCTGTACAAAAGGTTGGTGAGGAATTTACAAACGTCCTAATCCCCCCCTAATCCTTTAAAACACCGAGCTGTGATCACAGAGGCTGTTTGGTGATTATGTGTCTTCAAGGGCTTGTTTGGATACTTATTTAAGAGATACCAACTCACTTTCGTCATAGAGATTCAGCGTGGCTTGATATGTTTTTGTTGCACATTCTTCTGAAAAGAAACCCCAGGTCTGCTGGGAAAGGCCAGCCACCCCCACCCCGTGCCACCCCTACAGCTTTTGGGGACAAACAGAGCTCTGCTGCATGGATGAGTGTCACTGTCACATTTCCTGAAAAATCCCCTTGCCCAGGATTCTTCTCCTGGGAAGCTGAGAAACCTCAGAGAAAAAGGAAATCAGTATTATCTAATTTGCTTCTCCTGTGTTTTGTTGTTTTGGAATGCATTTGGAGATTGTTTACCCACAGGTGATTGTTTCATTGGTTTCATGTGAATTATTTTGACTTAATGACCAATCAGTGCCAGGCTGTGTCGGGAGCCTGGAAGGAGTCACGAGTTTTCTTTAGTGCCTTTTAGTCTTCTGTCTGTATCCTTTCTGTATTCTTTAGTACAGCATTCTTTAATATTACACAGATCACAAAATAATAAATTATCCTTCTGAGGACATGGGGTCAGATTCATCATTTCCTCCAACAAATACAAGAGATGAGGTCACATAGTTCAAATTTGTGGAGATGCAAGGGGAGAATTCTCCTCTCCTCTCCTTCCTCTCACCCTCAGCTCCTTCTTCTTTGCAAGTGGGGAGAGCAATGGCTCCCCTCATTCTAAAAAATACTTCAAGACCTACCCAGCAGAAGCTGCAGAGGAGCACAGTGTGTTGTTCCACTGGTGGTGCCTTCAGCAAGCTCCCAATGGAGACTTTGGCTGCTTCAAGCTGTGTGTGATATTTCTGTGTGCACAGATAACCAAGGCAGAGCTGACTTTTAACTGCTCATATGTGTTTAATTAGAGTTGCATTTTTAATCCTTTTAATTTGTATCTCTTTCTTAATAACCTCAGCTTGGCAAGGGTTGAAAAGGAAGAAGTGTCATTTGAATATTGGGTAAAACCTGGTAACAGCTGAGCAGATTGTTTAGCAAAAAGGTTTCAGAATGTTCTTTAAAGACTGTGGGTAGCAGTTTTAGCTAAGCTGAGGTTTGCATCCTTTGGGAATAATTTCAGAGCAGCTTAATAAAAATACTCTGGAGCTCAATATATCATCTAAGGTATGGGGTGTTTAGCAAGTGTCATTTGCCTGTAATCTCCAGGCAGGTAAGATCACAGCAACTTCGATTTTTGCAGCACAGTTCTGAAATCTCAGTGCAATCATGCTATAAATTCAGATTTCACTTTTGCACCAAAGGAAAAAAAGTCATTGCAGACTTCTGCAATCCCTGCTGATGAAAGGAAACATGCTCAGAGGTTAAAAATCCTATGGGAATGCTCCAAGCTGAATGAGTGAAAACACTTTCAATAATCTCTAAGTCTTGAACCCCGCTCTGATGAGGAGGAATGAACCCATTTCACAAGCACTTGCTTCTTTGCTTCAGATAAATCTGAAATTTTATCTCAGAAAAAACCTCCCCCCTCATTAAATACAGGATAACCTGAAAAGGAGAACAGATAAAATCAGCAAATACAGTTGCAAATGCTGCCATGAATTTTACCCAGCACTGTGGATGGATCTCAACCTCTGAGGCAGCCCAGGTTCCTCAGGCAGCTGATTTCTGCTTTAGAAGATCAAGGCAAAGAGATCATGTGAAAAGATCACATTAAAAAACTGTCACACTTTGGGTGTCTTGTGTGGCGTAATCTCCTTCTTGGCAGTTTTGCTGCACCATCAAAATCCAACATTTTGGTGTAAAAAATGGCCACTCTGGGCAGTGTCTGTGCCCTCCAAGGGCAGGGATTTGCTGGGTTTGCTGTTTCTGACCAGCTGCTAACAGAGGCCAGCTCTCAGCACGCTCCACTTTGGTGACTCCTCAGCCTCTTCCCAGTGCATGTGAGGGATCAGCACACAGTGAATATGAGTTTATTTTTCTCTGCTATGATGCACAGGCTGTTTGGAAAAGGCCCATGAAGCTCTGAGCTGCTGTGGCTGGCTGGAAAGTGGAGATTTCAAAAAAGGCCAAGTGTTAAAGCAACAGCTTAATTTGTGCTCTGGCAAAACACAGCATCCTCATCCTCAGGACAGCTCTCACCCAGCAGCACCAGGAGCTCACAAACCACCTCATTTTCCATTTCTGAAGATAGAAAGAAATAGCCAGCTCCAGCCAATCCCCAGCCCAAGCTGCTGCACCAGAGCTGGGCAGCTCTCCCTCAGGAGCTCCAATCCAGCAGGAATTCTCACTGCAGATGCAGAAGCTCCCTGCTCCTTGCAGCCAGCATTCCTTCCCCTCTGGGAGCCCGTGCCCACACTCCAGCTCAACACAAGGGCAAGTCCCTGCACGAAGCCCTGCAGCTGCTGCATATCTGCATGAAGGCATCTCCGGCAGCGTGTGAGCAGCAAGCCTGCCCTGCTCTGCTCCGCTCGGACTGCTCCAGTTTTGCCCTGGATTGTTGTGGCCACGCAGCCCTGGGATGTTTTGAAATCAGTAATGGTTGCTCTGGTCAAGGCTCTTGCTCAACCCTGCTCCGTGCCTGTGCTGTCCGTGGCTGTTCTGTGCTGGGGGTTTTGTGATGCTTCCCAGAGGGCTCCAGAGCTCTCAGACAAAATTAGAGAGTTTTGATCATTCCTTTTGTTCATGCCATCGCTGGGTTGTTTTCATATGAGCCATTTTCTGACTGGGAAACAGGGAGAATCCCTGTGATGGTGACATGCCACCAGTGTGGCAGTCATATTTTCTGGAAAAATCCCTTTGCCCAGGATTTCTCTCCTGGGAAGCTGAGAAGCCTCAGAGAAAAAGGAAAACAATATTATCTAATTTGCTTCTCCTGTGTTTTGCTGCTTGGGAATGTGTTTGGAGATTGTTTACCCACAGGTGATTGTTTCATTGGATTCTGGTGTGAATTGTTTTCACTCTTTGGCCAATCAGTGCCAAGCTGTGTTTGGGTTCTGAAGAGAGTCACAAGTTTTCATTATTATCTTTTTAGCCTTCTGTGAGTATCCTTGCTGTATTCTTTAGTATAATTTAGTATAGTTTATTTAATATAATATAGATCATAAAATAATAAATTAGCCTTCTGAGAACGTGGAGTCAGGTTCATAATTTCCTTCCTTCATCTGGAAACCCCACAAACACAAGACCCCAGCCCTGCCGAGCACTCAGAATTCTCCACAGCTGAGGAATGAGTGGAAGCAGAGTGTTTCCTTCCACCCTGCCAGGAAAAGCTCACTCATGTGGCACTGGGAATCCAGCTGTTGAGGAGAGCCTCTGCTCAAAGAGGTGGATTTTCACATTTTCACACCAGACTGCTCCTGGCTGATGGATATCCTCCCTTGGGAGGTGGCAGGTGGCGTGGTGCCACCTGATGTCCTCGTGTTGGGGTGCACAGCACAGCCTGACAGACACAAAATGAGCTCTTGGTGGGTGCAGGGGGCTCAGAGGGGTGTCCTGCCCCTCTGGGTGTGGGTGGCAGGGCTGGTTTGGTCCTGCTGGAGTGGAACAGCACAGGATTCCATTGCTGGGGTGTTTGAAGGGCAGCAGCTGTCCCAGTGTGTTCCCAAGGGGAGCATCCAGAGCAAGGAAGACAGAGCTGCAAGGATGCCCTGTCCCATCCTGGAGTCAGGACTGCCCTGTCCTTCCTGCTCATCACCTTTCACCTCCAAAAGCTGCAGCTCCCCAGCCCTGCTAGGGACACAAACTCTGGAGTCCCTGCCTGCCCTGAGCTCCTTTCCTACCAAGAATTCTTCAGCTGATGTCGAAGCCAACATCACCAACCCCCCTGTGAGAAGCTGTGGTGGCACCTGTGAGGGAGGAGCAGCAGGGGATGGCATTAACTCACCCAGCAGTGCCAACCTCAGTGCTTCAGCCATTGTTTGAAACCAGGATGGTGCCACCTCTGTTTGCCCACACCTCAAACACCGAGGGAAGAACTGAAACACCAATTCTGCAGCCTGTACCAAGCCCAGGGGGCAACACAAGGGACGTGGCAAGAGCAGAGCAAGTGCCACCCAAATTCATGGTCTGAAACTCTCCCCCAGTGCCAAAAACTTCCCTGGGTGCCAAGCCCACAGCAGCCAGATCAGATCCTTGTGCCATCTTCTCCCAAAATCCTGCCCTGCCTTTGATATGTTAATCCTGCATAAGGCAAATTCTCCCATTAGAATAAAGTCCATTCTGGTCTCCCTGCAATCTGCATGATCCAGTTCAAAGTTAAATTAAAAATCCCAACCTGTGTGAATGTTGCAATCGCGTTATGAAATCTGTAAATCTATTTTTAATGTCTTAATGCTGCTCTAGTTGAACGAGGCAAGGCGACTGCTGCATGGCATTTGCTTTACGCTTTTTTGGGTTCTCATGCACTCATTAAATATTCACTCTGCAGCCTTTGCATTTCCAGTACTGCAGGACCCTAAAATAGAAGACAAGTTTTTCTTTCCCTCTTTTGTTTCTGAAATTCCAACTTGACTCCGGGATCTCTCCAAATCAAATGTGAAGCACTAAACACTGCAAGGAGAAAATGTTTCAAATTAATACAGATGCCAGAAAATAGGATTTAAATCCTAAGCATGCAGCTATTTACACTGTTTTTAGGAGGTGACAGAGTAAAATGTTTGATTTTATTTCAAATTAAAATATATGCAATGTTAATTCTCTGAGTAGCTTTTTTTTTATTAAGAAAATATTTGAACATGGCTGGAACTACTCTCCCAAATCATCATCTTACAGAACATCTCTTGGGGGAGCAGTTTGTGCTTTTCATTCTGATCTGGGATGGAAACAAGCTCTGAAAGACTGGAATTTTCTGTGTCACAAACTTTATTTTCTGACCGAGTCGCTTTGAAAAATCAGCGCACGAAGCAGCGAAATAAATCCTGGTGCTGTCACTCGGGAGCCGTGCCCTGAAAAGTCGGGCTGTGCCTCTGGCTCTTTATCCCATTAACGAGCTCCTCGATATTAAATGTACCCAGACCTCGCAGGTGTGACCAGCGAGAGCAGCAGAGGACGGCGGAGGGGATGGATTTATCCCGAAATCCCGGATTTCCCAGTGCCAGGGACAGAGCAGCTGTCACCAGCGCCACTGGCACGGCCGGGGTGGCACAGGGGAGCCGTGCCACGCTCGGGGTGCCCGAGGCGGGGATGGCACAGCAAAGGCTGCTCTGGCAGGGCTCGGGGCGTGCGGAGGGACCGCTCTGTCCCCTCTCTGTCCCCCTCCTGTCATCCCTGTCCCCTCCTGTCCCGCTCTGTCCCTCTCTGTCTCCCGTCCCCTTCTGTGCCACCTCGTCCCCTCCTCTCCCCTCTCTGTCCCTCTCTATCCCCTCTCTGTCCCCACTGTCTCTCCTCTGTCCCCTCTATTCCCCCTCTGGCCCCGCTCTATCCCTCTCTATCTCCTCCTGTCCCCTCTATACCGTCTTTGTCCCTTCTACCCTCTCTCTCTTTCCCTCTCTGTCCCCTTCTGTCCCTTCTAGCCCCTCTGTCCCCCCTCTGTCCCTCTCTGTCCCTCGTTATTCTCCCTCTGTCCCCACAGTCTCCTCTCTGTCCCTCTCTCTCTCTATCTCCTCCTGTCCCCTCTATACCGTCTTTGTCCCTTCTACCCTCTCTCTCTTTCCCTCTCTGTCCCCTTCTGTCCCTTCTAGCCTCTCCTGTCCCCCCTCTGTCCCTCTCTATCCCCTCTATCCACCCTCTATCCCCTTTCTGTCCCCTCCTGTCCCTCGTTATTCTCCCTCTGTCCCCTCAATCCCCCCTGTCCCCTCTGTCCCTCTCTCTGTCCCCTGCTCTGTCCCCTTCTCTCTGTTCCCTCTGTCCTCTCTATCCCCTGCTGTTCCTCTCTGTCCCTCTCTCTGTCCCCCTCTCTCCCTCTGTCCCCTCTCTCTGTCCCTCTCTGTCCCCCTGTCCCCTGTCCGTCCCTCTCTCTGTCCCCCTGTCCCTCTCTCTGTCCCCTCTCTCTGTCCCCCTGTCCCCTGTCCGTCCCTCTCTCTGTCCCCCTGTCCGTCCCTCTGTCCCCGCTGCCGTGCCCGAGCCGCTGCCGCCCCCTGGTGGCCGCGGGCGGGCAGCGCAGCCCGCGCTCGGCCCGCGGGCTGAATTCGGCTCCAAACTCCTCAAATGAAACAAAATAAACCCAAAAACTCTTCAAGAGGCTCAGCCCAGCCCGTGCCGCGGCGGCTCCGGCCCGGCCCTTCCCTTCGGGATCGGTGCGTTCCCCAGCATTCCGGGATGCTCCAGGATGCTCCCTGCTGCGGACCCCGCACTGCCCGGGATGGGGATCCCGCACTCCCTGGGCTGCGGATCCCGCATTTCCCGGTCTGCAGATCCCGCATTCCGCGGGATGTGGATCCCGCATTCCCCGGGATGGGGATCCCGCAATCCCCGGGCTGCGGATCCCGCATTCCCCGCTGCGGATCATCCCGCATTCCCCGGGCTGCATCCCCAGGAGCGCCTCACTCATTTACAGGTGCTCGTTCGCAGGGAGCTGGGGGAAAAGGTGTGTGGGGCACCGAAACTTGGCCTATTCAGTGAAGTTCCAGGTTTTTTTCGGATTTTGCCCACTGGAGCACGGCTGGCGGTGCCCATGGAGCCTCCCCTCCGCATCCCTTGGGACCGGAGCGCGGGGAAGGTTGAATGGTTCCTAGAGGAATGGGAACATGCAAAGCAAATGAGTAGCTGACATCTCAGTGGGGAGGGAATGGCTGCAGCTTAAGAGATCCCGGGCTGACAGCAATTCAAATGCGAGCAGGTTGGGCGGCACCGAATTCAACAACAGCCATGTTCAAATATTAGCAAAGACAAGGAAAAAAAGCTCTTGGAGAAACAAACCCTGCTGTGCTGGATGAGCTCCACGGGCTGACTAATCCGGGCTCTGTCCGGGAGTGAGCAGCACCAAATACCTGAGGAAGGTGCCAGGTGTGGACACAGGGGATGGTTAAGGGCAGCTCCATAAATGTGTAATTTAAAGTGAAAGATCAGAGCTCAGCTCCATCCAATCCAGCAGAAAATGCCTTTTTAATGGCCAAATGTTCAATTTTGTTCATGTAATTTATTGGTCGCAGGCGAAGAGGAGCTCGGATTGAAAGCTCGGCTCTGGGCTCGCTGGAATTCCATGTGCTGCCATTGGGAATGCCAGGGCTGGCTGCAGTGGGGCGGGCAGGGAGCAGCTGGCAGCTGGCACCGGCCGTGCAGGGCGAGGAGAGGAGCATCCGCAGCTCTTGTGGCTGGCCTGGCCAGCGCTAATAATCATTGCCATTCATAAGCATGAAAGAGTCAAGTATTCCCACCCCCCTGCTGCCATTTGAAAAGTATCTGACCTAATTATTACTATCCCTGTTGTGTAAATTCAGCACTTTGTCAGTCTGAATAAATGTACATTAGCCTTAACATGAGTGAAACAAGTTTAAACAATGAAGGCAGCTTTGTAAAGCTCCCTCGCTTTTTAACTTATTTGACACCACACTAAAGAGCCCATTTAGACTAAAGAGTTCAGCACATTTTGGGACCCATTAAATGCCCAGGTTGAGACTAGATATTCTTCTTTTTCTTTTTTTAATTTGTCCTCCCCAGTTGCTAAAGTCAGCAGAATTGAGCAATAAGCTGCTTTGCATTTCTTTAGCTTTGTAGGCAAGTTGAGAAAGCTGCACCCATCCCGGCCAGCACAGCAGCCCTTCCAAGGCAGGGCAAACCTCACTTATCACTGAGACCAAGGCATTCCTTGGAATTAGCTTTAATTAAAAGAAATGGCTCTTAATTAAAAAAAAAAAAAAAGGCAAAACAAAAATCAGAAGAGGAAACTCATAGCACAAAAATGTGATATTCATGACTGCTAGGA